TCAGGGCAGTGAGAATACAAACGAAGAGAGGAATCTAGCCTGCTACTGAAGTTGGACAGGCGTGGTGCTGGCTCCTGTGCTGGGAGGCTAGCCCAGGAAGCCTGGACCTCGACTCCCCTCAGAAACCAAGAATGAAAATGCCAATCGGGAGGCCACACAGCGGCCCTTTTGTGCTCCACTTGAGAGAAACTTGATGAATATGTACGGAATTTTCTCTCCATGGAATGTAAGGGGACGGCTGTGTCACTGGTCACAGAAGGTCAGAATTCACTGTGGACTGATAAATCTTTGTGCCTAATGGGCACTGTCACTGGGAAACTGTGGGGCTGGGTGTGGCTTAGTCCTTGATGAACCTTGATGGTTCAGGACTTTGAAGCCAGTGATCCTGACTCTGTAGCAGACTGGGGATGATCAGGAGAGGCTGTGGCAGTCCTGCTGTGGACAGTCCCACTCAGCCAGTTTCTAGAGGATGTTAACAGTTTCAGTTTACACAGTAATCTCCAGCCCCTTTGAAGAGAAGCAGGAACAGACTCCTGTTTCTTCCCAGATCTGTTTGAACTGAGTTTTTTTTTTTTTTTCATAAGAACACTGCATCCTTAAAACATTATTTCCCCTTTACCCCTGAACAAGGATTCTAAGAACCTCACAAACTGGAAAGAGCTGGGAAGGAGCAATTGGCTTGGTGGTGTCCAGATGCAGGTCTGTTCTAGGCTGAGGCAGACTTAGTGTCTGCTTAACCCCAATCCCACTATTTCTGCAAGGAATTGGACCTCTTTTTTGTTTGTTTGAGACACGGTTTCTTTGTGTGGCCCTGGTTGTCCTAGAACTTACTATGTAGACCTGGCTGGCCTCAAACTCACAGAGATCCACCTGCCTCTGCCTCCCAAGTGCTGGGATGAAAGGCGTGTGCCACCACTGCCTGGCTAAGGAACTGGAACTCTTAGCACTGCCCTGGACAGGATAGGTGCAGGGACTACTAGATCTCTGGGTTGACCAGCCATCTAATTTGTTAGCCTGAGCCATGGGGAGTTCTAAGAATTTGGGACTTTTTTCCTTCACTTTATTTTGAGACAGAGTCCCCAGCATTGCTGGGCTCACATGTCCAGTTAAATGGTGCTGGAGACTGAACCCATGGTTATGTGCATGTGAGGTAAGTAGTCTACCAACTGACTATAGCCCTAGGCCCAGGCTTTGGATTTATTTTAGGTTTTCGTTTTGGGATTTTTTGGATTGTTTTTTTTTTTGCTTTTTGAGACAGGGTTTCTCTGTAGCTTTGAAGGCTGTCCTGGAACTCACTCTGTAGACCAGGCTGGCTTCAAACTCACAGAGACCCGCCTGCCTCTGCCTCCCGATTTCTGGGATTAAAGGCCTGCGCCACCACCACCTGACTATGTTAGGTTTTATTTGCTTTACCGTGCTGGAGATTCCATCCGGGGCCTCCCATACTGAGGGGAACGCTGTCACCACAGTCTTCTTAGCGTTGGGATTCTGCATTGAGTTCATCTACGTCCTGGGTAAGTTTGCCTACCTGGCCACCCTACCTGGCGCTGCTTTGTCCATCCCTGGCTTCCAGAAAGTTCCAGAGTCACTGTCTCACTCTGGGGACTACAAGTGAGATAATAGGGGCATCCCTTTATTTTTCACAAAAGCACCCCTGAGAGATTAGAATTCTCTGGCTACTCTCAGGAACCCAGAAAGTCAGGACTGTGGAGATTCCCCCATCCTGTGAGCCCCACATGTGATCAGGGGGAATACATTTGGATGGACAATTCTACAGCTATTGGCTTTGCAAACTTTTTTGAGGAAAAAAAATGTATTTGTGTGTCTGCATGTGTGTGTGTGTTTCATAGGAGTACGGGTGCCCTAGGAGGCCAGAAGAAGGCATCAGATCCCCTGTGTTAGAAACCTCCCACATTCCACAACAAGGTTCTTCCTGCCTTCAATGACTCAGCACCAACACCATGTCATTGCTAAAGGCCAATATGACATGTTTCCACTGTCACCATGTTTGAGTAGGCACATGTTCCATACCCCTTTGTTGGGAGCTGCAGAGTACTGCGCCTAAAAGATGGCGCCGGTTTCTGCCTTCCACCAGCCCGACGAGCTCAAGGGTGGGTGGACGCCACACCCCTTCACTCCATAAAGTGAGAGCCATCACTGCCTGTTCTCTCACTCTCTATAGTTACAGGGGGTTGTGAGCTGCCAGACATGGGTGTTGGGGACTCAACTGAGCTCCTTTGCAAGAACACCAAGTGCTTTTAACTGCTGAGCCATTTCTGCAGCCCCTTCAATTTTGTTTCTTTTTTTTTTTTAAAGATTTTATTTATTTATTATGCATACAACATTCTGCTCCCATGTATATCTGCACAAAAGAAGAGGGCACCAGATCTCATAACAGATGGTTGTGAGCCACCATGTGGTTGCTGGGAATTGAACTCAGGACCTCTGGAAGAGCAGCCAGTGCTCTTAACCGCTGAGCCATCTCTCCAGCCCTCAATTTTGTTTCTTAATCAGCTAATGATGGTCTCAATACCAGGGCCTAAGAAAAGCAAGAAAGACCCAAGGTGGGGTGGGGAGCTCCCTGGTCCTCAAACATTGGCATCTGACAACACCCAGAACAGCAGGTAGGAAATGAGAGCCTATGGAGAGTTAACCAGGAGCCAGGGGAGAGACTGGTCAGGCATCAGTAGGCTACTTCAAGCCCTTGAGAGGAGGTTCCTCGCAGGTCCCACTTAGTAAATAGCCCCCAGGGATTTCCTGCTCACACAAGTGACTCTTCAGACTACTGTGCCAGCTGCCAAGCTCATTCCTCTAAATTCCCCGACTGCCCATGTCTCCCTGGACCTCCCTGGAGGGGCCCCAGGCAACTGCTCAGTTTTGCTAAGATGTCTGCCGGTGACTATTTACTTTCTCAGCATCTAGTAGAGGGTGGAAGGCAAAAGCTGGTTAAGCCACTTAATCCAAAACTGAAAGGAGGCTTAAAATTTCACCAGCAGGAAATTGTTCAGGATTGCAGATGAAAAGTCAGGCTACTCAGAATGGTGGTCCTCTGCCACCCCTCCCCTCATAGCTCACAGCCACAGCGTACCCGAATGTATATCCTTCACCTTCACTGTGAGTAGAGGCTGAGTGCACCTGGTGTTTGGACCACATTAGTTGGATTTTTCTCAATAGCGTTTGTTACAAGCCAGGCTTGGTGGAGCAAGCCTAGTGTCAGCACTTGGGACTAGTCCCAGGATCAGGAGTTCAAGGTCATCCTCAGCCACACAGCAAGACTGGGGCCAGCTGGGGCCATATAAAACCCTGTCTCAAAAACATAAACAAAACAACGTGGTGTTTCATAGTAACTATGCGATAAGTGCTGTTCTCTGCACTTAAATAATGTCATTTAGGTCTTCAAAAACCATGTGAGGCAAACACTATTAGGCCTATTTTAAAGATGGGAGAACTGAAACTAGACTATATTTTGCCACTGGATGTCTTGGAGTAGAGCTGGAGTCTAAATTCTGATTCTGAATGTTTCTTTTCTCTTTATTCCTCTTCTAGAGATATAAACACGGACAACAAAAGATTTTCCTATGTATGTCATATCTCCTAACACTTCACATTTCTTCAATATCTTAGACCACTGTCAATAATATACCACAGACTGCAAAAACAACTGCAGGCCAGAGTGATACTAAGGAAGAGACCAAATCAATCCTCTTGCCTTTTGTTTCTTTCTTGCTTTGAGTCTGGAGGCCGGCACACTCCCAGTGGCCTCTCCATAGACAATACCTGACTATGGGTCACCACGACACCAATTTCCCAAGGTGTTCCTCAGGAATTGAAGGCAGCAGAAACTAGTTGAAACTACTGACCTATGCAAGTGTCCAGTGGGTGACCTTTTGACGTCAGATGCTAAAGCTCCACCATTAGAGCCTGCTGATGCCATTATTTTCTGAACATAGCCCAAGTAAAGATTTACACCACCTTCCTCAATTACCTTTCTCTATGCTGCAGACATATGTCATAAATGACCCTTACCTTTTTGCGACCTGGGGCATCTGCCTCTTCGTGTCTGACTGGATGTCTTTTTTTTTTTTTTTTTTTTGAGAATGTTTGCAATCACTTCAGTGACTGGAAGGTTGGCATGCCAAACAGTGGGCAAAACAAGCCTCATTTGGTAGCCAGAGGAGCTGGATGATTGACATGGTTGCCCAGCAAGTTCATTTAAAAAAAAAAAAGCATGAAGCCTGGCAGTGCTGCCAGCAGTGCACTGAGGCAGGAGGATTGCCAGGGCTATATAACAAGGCCCTACCTCAAAAACAATCAGAAAAGCAGCTGCATAGGACCATAGGACCATGAGATTGGAGGCAGTTTTAGCTCAGGCTGTCCGGTGAATGAATTAATAAAAGAGCAAGAGAGAATAGCATGTCAGTCCACTGACTGACCATCTGAGTCAGAGATGACTACTAGAGACGGGAACTTCCAAGTGGCTTGAGTTTACCTGTGCCAAATGAGGCACCTAAAGAACCTACTCACCATTTGCTCTTAGCCATTTGCATTCCCCCCTCTGGACTCCTATTCTCTCGCTAAGGGGAGCCTAGGGTAGAGGTTTAGTACCTCTTCAAAGGCGGCAAAGGAAAACAAGCCACATCCATAATCTCCAAAGCGCAAAGTTTTTTGGTTTTTTGTTTTTTCTTAAACCCTCCCTGCATGTCTCCACACCCCCCAGCAGGCACACCCCAGGCAGCACTTGGAACAAGACATTCTATAACTCAAGAGTGCTTTTTCCCAGGGCTTCCCAAGGGCGAGGATGGAGAGGAGTGTGAATAAACAAGCAGTAGGAGATAAAGCCTGGGATAGGTGAGAATTTTCCTCCATAGTCATGTGAATGAATTACCCTCTTGGAAACTTTGGGGAGGCAAGAGATTCCAGGCTGTGCTGGGGGAGGGAAGACGGAAGCCCAGGTCAAGGATGCCTCTCCCATTCTCCCCTTCCCCCCACAAGCTACTCACATCGGCCTCATTCCAGAGTCCTGGGATGCAGAAGGACTCCAGCAGGTCACTACCGCACAGCAGCAGGATGCGCAACTCTGAGGAGAGAGGGCAGAGTTTGCAAACGGCATCGGAGGGGTCTAGGAGACAGCTCAGCTTTCTTTTCTCATGGCCCAGGTCTCCCTGACAACCCCACACCAGGGTGTCTATAGTTCAATACACCCCTATTCCCTCCCTCATCTCTAGTGGGATTTCCACATTCAGGGGAAGCAGTGCATGGAGGATCACCAACAGTTCTGCCTACCCAAGACACAGACACAACCCTTGAGGGTCAAAGCAGGATGGTGGGCTTTCTAACAGAAACAGCTAGCTATGTACTTTGCTTAAGGGCTCAGAGCACTCCTCGCCCTGGCTCAGACTCTGTAGCCTAGCCTCACACTTGATGGACTGCTGAGGTTTGAACTCTGGAACCTCCTGTCCCAGCCTCCCCAGAGCTGGATAACAGGAACTTACTTCTGCCTTCTCTCCATTTGGAATGTCTCCCATACAAGTGCCATAACAGTAGGGATGGGATGGATGGACGGAGACCACTAACTGCCAATGAAGTATCTGAGTTGATCAACTGTGCCCTCTTTTTTGTGGCCATAGCCCTCAGAAAAGGGCTTGAGAAGCAAGGCTGGGACCACCCTCCCCTTTACCCGTGGAGCTTCCTGCCTGCCAGGTTTTTTCTTCCCTCATTAAGTCTAATTTGAATGATCCCAGTGAGGCCCATTGTCATTTAAAACCTCCAGCAAAAGGGTGGCTTATTACAAAAGAGTGATGGGAAAAGAATCTAGAGATTCTTGACATTCCACAGAGTGTCCTCCAGCCAGGGTGCAGACCTCAAGCTGCCCAAGTTTCTGCTTCTTCCAGTATGTCTGAGATAATGAGACCACCTGTGCAGAGCTGGCCACCAGTCCTGCAGACACAGCTGCTACCCTGTGGCCCCTGATGCTGAGAGCCCAGAGGTTGTTTGCCTGACTTACACCCCAGGGCTGGGTAAGGGCTTTCTGATGTTGAGCTTGCCCCTGTTCAGCAGTTTCCATATGGGAATGAGGCAGGTGGAGAAAACAGCCAGCATCCCATTGTCTAGATGTCTGGACAATGTCTGCACTGGACCAGGGTCTGCATGCCCCACCCCTACCCCGGGAGCCCAGTGAAGGTTGAGAGCTTATATTACTCAATGATCTCTTCAGGTACAGAACCTGAATTTGTCCTTATGTCCCTGGGGCCTGGCAGTGACTGGCATATGGTGGAGACTCAGACATGGTGAGTAGTTAAATCAGCTGATGATGTGGTTACAGAGCCACAGGGGCTGCCTGAGAACCCCTGGGCAGTTTAGGGGCATTCTTACAATGTCTGGTTTTCATGCCTGGGGAGCAGAGAAGTGTATCACAGGCATCTGGTGGATAGAACGCTGGTAAACCACTCCACAGTGTGCAGGGCACGCCACCCCCCCTCCCCGTGCCCCCAGAATTATCTGCCCCTAAAAACTAGCCGCACCACAGTTGGAAAGCCTGAGCTGGGTTTTCCATTCTTATGCTGGGACTCACTCTCTTCCTAGACTTTTAAAATGAGCCAAAGCACAGAAAGGTAGAGTGAAACCTCTGACTTCTTTTTCCCCCCAGCACCAGAGCAGATGTGTCATTGGTAACAGACAGGTGACCCTGGCAGAGTCTGTGGTCCCGCATGAAGCCACTGGAGGGCAGCAGTAATTTCCACATCTCCAGGCTACAAGTCCTTATAACTTCCCAGGGGAAGCAATCAACTGTTGGAACACAAGAATGGGATCACTGATGCCAAACAAGCTAGGAGAAGGAGGCTTTTCCTTGTGATGTGTGCAAGGGGTTTCGTTAAGGGAACCTGTGAGTACCAGGACCTCACAGAGCACCAGAGTCAGGATGCAGGCTAGTCCTTTGCCCTCCACTGGGGCCCTGCCTCCCTCCCTGGTCATCTTGATCCAGGGCCAGTAGGACTCTCCCTCTACACTCCCTGCTCAGGAATTCCAGCTATGTGTAGCCCAGTGGCCCACCCCAGCTCCCACGGTACACCAAGGCAGCTGCCACCTGTATCACTGCAAACCCAGAGTCTATCTGTCAGCAGGGACTTCACCACTCTCCTTTTCAGAAGCCAAGAATTCCTCATTCCCTGTCTTCTTCATTCCCTGGCCCATTATCCCTTCCTGTCAGACACTGGGGATCTTTCCCCTTCTAGAGAGCAAAAGGGATCAGAGGTGGCTAGCAGATTTAAGAGGCAGAGGGGGTGTCCCCCAGTAGGGACAGCATAGCCTAACATAAGCTGTGCGTGCTGCGTAGGGAAATAAGTTCCCAGAAGTCTAATAGAAAGTCTGAAACAGGGAAAAGACAAATATACGTAGGAACACAATGGAAAATCCTAGGACTGTTCTGAGCTCTGCTGGGTAGAGACTGCCAGTGGGGTGTCAGTCCTTGGAGAGGGAGAACTGCAGGGAGGTGGGGTACAGGACTTTGAGCCCAGTCCTGGCAGCTTTACCCCATCTCTGCCATTGGGGGCTCTGGGCTTACAGAACCTACTTGCTTTGTGGGGAGAGTCCAGAAAGCCAGGCGTCCACTTTCCTGCAGACTTCAGGGCACATAAGCTGATATATAAAGATACTGAAGTCTAGAAGGGTTAGTAGGAAGTGAAACACTGGGCACTCCCTTGTTGCTTTGGTTTCATGCAGTTTGTTTAACTGCATGCTACTAGCATTTCATTTTGACTAATGGCTCTGCTTAGTAACTAGTTGTCAGGATTCTACAGATGGTTCTAGCAAAGCGATATGAATTAACTCAGGCATTAAGGTGCTCAGACAGGTCATCATCTCCATGCCGCTCAGAAACATAGTAGAAGCCAGATCCCCGGTGCACACTCAGAGGAGTGTCAGGAAGGCATCTAACATCTTTGCAGCTAGAAGTTAAATCCATGCAAGTTGGAGACAAAGTTGCCTCTGCTTCTAGAGATCAGCTGACTCTCCTCCACACCTGTACCAGTTCCATTCTGGCCTGCCTCTGTCATCCTTTTCCAGCTGCAGGCATTTGGGGGTCCCCCCATCTTTCACTCTGGAACCTTGGAAAGGCTTCACTTTACTGACTTGCTTCAATTACTTACACAGCTGTCAGCTCCTCCCCATCAGACAGCTGTTTATAAACCAGCTTCTTCCTGCTCTGGGTTGAGCACAGGGGCTCACACAGATAACGGGATACCTGAGCTCCAGCCAGCCCTTGCCTCCTTCTCTACTTGAAAGCCCCGGAAACTGGACACTGCCTTGTTTGTGTGCAGTATCTATGGGTAAAAACAATGGTCTCGCTCATTAGCTATAACGCTCAGCTTTCATTCTTTTAGATGAGGGAGGGGAGCCTGTGACAGGAAGACTACCCACTGAGCCACTCCTACCAGGAATGAGTTAAGGGATGTTAAATGGGATTTAGTAAGATTATCTGCAGAAGGAGCATTCTGACAGTAGACCCTGTTGCAAACACATTTCAGAGGTTTCAAGCCTCCACCCTCCCTGACATTGCTGCTTCTGTGTGATTGGAGGCAAGAGGCTCCAAATGTTCCCACTTTGAAAGCTCAACTCACCAATCTCTTCATACCGCATCACTGTGCCCAGGTTGGCATTCTCATCTGGGAAGAGAGGAGGGGGAGCATTAGGGAGCTGACAGCCTCAGTGAGAGTGCCTGGGTGGGATGGGCAAAGATGTGTCAGATGACAGGGAGCATCCCCACCCCTCCTGGGGCAGAGCTTCATATTTTAGGGATTTTCATAATTAGCACGTTCTATTTATGTGTTTTAGGCTGCCCTTAAGAACTGTGCCCTTAGAACCCAGGACACACGATTTGGGGTCACAGGAGATGATCTCCTCTCCTCCTGTTGCTTCCCGGTTTAAGGAGTCAGCAAAATTGGGATGTTGAGCCATTTCCTTGGTGGGATGTAGCAAACGCCAGCAGCAAAACCAAAGGGCAGAGCCTCTGGTGTGTACTGTCTGCATGGAGGTGTACAAGTTACACACATGTGCACACACACAAATCTATAGGTGAGCTGCCTTGTCTCCTCAACCAACTCTTGGTTCCCTCTCAATGTGCCCCAAACTAGAAACCTCCATTATGGCAGAAGGCAGCCCCAAAGAACAAAAGGAACATGTTCTTTTGGCTCTTTGGGGGGCTGTTTTATAGGGTAAATTTGGAATTGGCAGGGGAAAGAGCTCCAGGACCTGTGATGTTCCCCGCCCCCTTGCTGAGTCTCTGAGGGGCACCCACAAGACAGAGGGAGAGAGTATGTGCCCACTGGAGGAACAGACACTGCCTGAACCAGGATCCAGGATGCAGGCCCCACGGGGACACCCATTGTGTAGACATGTTTTCTGGAGCACAGGGTGAGGAATGAGCACAGACTGGAGGAGGGAGATGACCATGAAAGACTCCCGGGATCACCACATCCTCTTGCTTCCATCACCTCTTGACACTAGACCTGGACATCCCTGCTTGCCTCTGATCTCTTTCAACTACACTCTACAAATGATCACCCCACTAGGGTGTCCTAGTCCATTCAAGCCATTACAACAAACACCACGGGTGGGTGGCTTTCAAACAACAGGAATTTATTCCTGAGTGTTCTGGAGTTGAAAGCCAAAGATAAAGGAACCAACATGGGTAGCATCACCTCCTTGTGTCTTCAGATGGTACAAGAGGGTTAGCTCTGCAAGGCCTTTTCTTTATAAAACAGTTTTTTTTTTTTAAATTACATTCTACTTATTTACTCGTTTGTGTACAATTCACCCTGGTGATTTAATTGTCTCTCAAAGATCCTGATTTCTAATACTATCCTCTGGGGGATTAACAATTCAATATATGAATTTCAGGGTTGTGGCTATTTGCTGGAACAGGGAAAGGAAACCCCCACCCACCCCCTTACCTACAAAGGTGAATCGCTCCACAGGAGGGCGGACACAGCAGATCCGGGTGAGGCTTTCTCCCACCTTTCCCAAGATCTTGGCTATGGGAGAGACAGAGACAGAGGGAAAGAACCACTCACAACGGACAGTGTCAGCCCCACAAGGGGCCACTGTCAACAACACGAGGTCCTGGGGAGGGTGGAGCTGGGAATCGGAAGGCAGGAGGAAGGGGAGAGAGAAAGGACAGGACGGTGACAGCCCCAAGTTCTTCTCAGAGTCCAAGGCACTGTGAGCCATAGTCTATTTTCTTGTAGTATTTATTGTTGAAAAGTGGAAAATAGACAAAAGGGTGACATATAAAGAGAAAAAGAAACAGCACCCACAATCCCACATCTAGATAGAACCACAGCTTAGCATCTTGGTGTATTGTTTGTTTTCTTCCATTTTAATGAGTATAATGCATGCGTGTTGGGTCAGATTGCAACTTCAAAGTGCATTCACACGGCTGCTCCTAATCCTTCCCACTCCTCCCCAAGACAGGGTTTCTCTGTGTAGCCCTGGCTGTCCTGGAACTCACTCTGTAGACCAGGCTGGCCTCAAACTCCAAGAGATCCACCTATCTCTGCCTCCCAAGTGCCGGGATGACAGGCATGTGCCACCACCGCCTGTAGCTCTTCAAATTCTTAATGTTATGGTTTGAACCTTAAATGTCCCCCAAAGGCCATGCATTGGAGCCTGGTCCCCAGCTGGTGATGCTGGGGAAGTGGTGGAAGTTTTAGGAGGTGGACTCTAATGGAAGAAAGTTAGCTCACTGGGTGTGTGTCCTAGTTTCTCCCTCCCTCTCCGTTCATTCTGAACACCACAAAGTGAGCCACCTCCTCTGCCACTCACTCCCACGATGCTGTATGCTTCCACGATATCAAAACAACATGGTCCAGTGCCCCTGGACTGAAATCTCTGGAATGTGAGCCAAATACATCTTTGTTCCTTCAAGATTGATTTTTCTCGGGCATTTTGTCACAGCAATGGAATGCTGGGCGACTAACACAGTTCTCAGGAACTTCTCAGTGGGTTTGTCCCAAGCCTGTCCTTAGCCACTCAGTCCCACTGGACAGTAGCACCCAAATCCAAGGGACCTCAGCCTGTGGCAGACTCCACACTGGTGTCGTCTCTGCTGGGCTAGGGAGGGCATACCTGCCCAGGCAGATGGTCTTCACAGTAATCAGGTTCTCTAAGTGGCTGAGAGGTGGCCTCTTTGGCTTTCCCATGATCTATCTCTTCAGGCTCTAGTCCCCAGTGTTATTGTTTTGTTTAAAAAGAAGAAAAGAGGAATGCTGAGACATGAGACATATTGACTATAAGTTTATTATAAGGCCCGGCAGAGTAGGGAGACTAAGAGAAGAGAAGAGGAACAGGGTAATGGCTGACCGCCTTGGCCGGTCGCCATAGAGAGACAGAGCGAGCGCATAGGTAAGAGAGAGAGAGGAAGCAGAGAGGAAGCAGAGAGAGGAAGCCGAGCGGAAACAGAGAGCGTAAATGGGCAGGGGCCTGTCTTTTAAAGGGGTCCTCTGCACCTGTGTGCAGACTTAGTTCCCATGGAACCTTGTTACCACCAGGTAACAGGGGCAGGCCAGCATAATGCCTGAACCTTTCATTTTAATGTGTCTAATACTTATGTTTCCACAAACTCTAAGCATTCTCGTAAGTTCCAGGGAGCCGAATCAGATCCAAACAGGTCAGATTCACTCCAGGTAATATTCAACCTTTCCCCAGTCCCAGGACTCTCTTCCCTCATGTTAGGACTCCTCGGGAACCCCTCCCTCATCTTACAATCTTCCCCTCAAGTGACAGGACCTAAGAAAATTTTTTTTTCTAAACTCAACCTTGTCTTCTGCTCTGCCACCATCTTGCCAGGTCTAAGAGGCTCCAGGGAATTCTGTACAGCCTGGACTGCAATGAAACAACCAGCTACCCCAGGACGTGGCAGTACCCCAACCTCATTCGGTCCCACAACGATGGTCAACGCCCCCTACGTCAGCAGGAAGCAGTCTTGAGAATTAGAAGACCCCATTCCTTAACCTGCCATGTCTAACACCCCGCCTTTTTTTAAATAATAAGTAGAGGTGGGAATGAAAGGTTCAGGCCTTATGCTGGCCTGCCTCTGTTACCTGGTGGAGCAGGCAGTACTCTGGTCAGGCCAAGGTTCCATGGGAACTAAGTCTGCACACAGGTGCAGAGGACCCCTTTAAAAGACAGGTCCCTGCCCATTTACGCTCTCTGTTTCCGCTCGGCTTCCTCTCTCTGCTTCCTCTCTGATTCCTCTCTCTCTCTTACCTATGTGCTCGCTCTGTCTCTCTATGGCGACCGGCCATGGCGGTCAGCCATTAACCTATTCCTCTTCTCTTCTCTTAGTCTCCCTACTCTGCCGGGCCTTATAATAAACTTATAGTCAATATGTCTCATGTCTCAGCATTCCTCTTTTCTTCTTTTTAAACAAAACAATAACACCCAGTCTTGCTCAGTATAACCCAGTATAACTTCATGTAAACTGTGAAGTCCTAGCTCTTCTTTATAAATTACTATGTTTATAAAAGAGCAGTAAAAATAGTGTGTGGTCGCTCGGCATCTGTAGTGGGCATCTGTCTCTTCGAATTTGTATTTGTTTTTGGTCATGTTTTATTTGAAACAACATTTCTTGTAGCCCAAGCTGGCCTCAAACTCCTGTTCCTTCTGTTTCTACCTCCCAAGTTTTGGCATACAGGCATCTGCCACTACACCCAGTGTCGTCTCTTAGAACTGACCTGGGAGAATCCTCTAGTGCATGTCCCTTGGACCTGTCGGCTCTTTTTCCTTTGAGCTGTTCAGTTTAGGCTAATCACAAACTGTCACTGGATTGTCTTTTTTTTTTTTGTCAAAGGAAAGAAAGCATCTACATCACAGAATTACTGCATTTAAAAAGAACACGAGTAAAGATTGAGAACAAAGCACCGAAAGGCACACAGTGCTAGTGCAGAGAAAGTGTTGGTGGCTTTGCTCTTTGTTGTTGAGTAGGCTAAGAGCCTTAGGTATGTGATGTGACTCACGGCCCTGCTACCTCCTCCCTATGACCCTGGGTGAGACCCTCAACCTCTCTGGAAGAGGGAAAGAAAAATGTTCCCTCTCAAATAGTAAATCCCTGTTGAAGGCAATTATATTTATATTTAAATACATAAGAAGGCGCACTGTCCTCTCTTCTCCCTCCTCCCTGTCTCCTGCCCCCTCCTCTCAATCTCCTTCCTTCTCCCTCCTACATCCCATGCCTCCTCCTCCTTTCTCTTTTGTATGCTTCACCCTCCTCTTCCTCTTTCTAGACTGACTAACTCAAATGCTGGCTGGGCCCCCTAGGTGATTTTAAAGATGGAGAACTTTACCCAGTGTCCCTTACCTGCAGTGGGCTTGGTGGACACATTGCTGTTCTGGTAAATGGGCTGGGTGTTCTCGTGTTGTGGCTGTCCAATCACAGGTGTCATGGAAGGCGTGTTGACATTGGAGAGGATGCAGCCAGTCACCCTCTGGGGAAAGGGAGAAGCACTGAGTCAGTGTCTGTAGCCAAGTGACACTGAGAATCATGGCCCAGTTGTCCCATCTGTCTGCCCAGCCGAGTAAGGCAGCCTCAGGCCAAGGGATGGTCTACACTGGCAGGAAACAGGGTAACTCAACAAGAAAAGTTTGGGAAGTGGCATCACACTGCCTTGAGCCCAAGTTCAGGCTCTCCTCCTTCTAGCTATGTGACCTTGAACAGTCCCTGAACCTTATTGCAAGCCTGATAATACAATTTGTTTTTTGGGGTTCCCCCCAGATGGGGTTTCTCTGTGTAACTCTGGCTGTCCTGGAACTTGCTTTGTAGACCAGGCTGGCCTCAAAGTCAGAGATTCACTTGCTTCTTCCTCCTGAATGCTGGGGTTAAAGGCCACTACCACTATCACCCACAAATTTAAATTTTCTATCCACCTGTCTCTTCTTCCTGAGTACTGGGATTACAGGCTTCAACCATTCTTTGTAGTTAAAAAAAAAAAAAAAAGGTGGGGGAGGAAATGGGTCTACATCTAGGTGGAAATCAGCCAATCTCCTGTCTTAGGAGTCAGCCCAGGTTAGTCTCAAGACCTAGGGACTGTCCCTCAGGCATGCTGGCCCAGCTTTAGCCATTTTGACTGTGGCAGAATTACTTGAGCAAGTACATGCAAAGTGCCTCTGGAGTGCCTAATGCTGGGGGGGCTTTGTGTGACTTTCTTCATGCCATGGCTATCTGTGGTCCCTGCCCGCTTCTCGGGGCTCAGATGAGATCATATGGTGAGGGAGCCCTGTCAGCATGGGAAAGGTCAGACCAACCATAGGCAGCATCACCACCTCAGCCAATACAGGCCGGACGCGTCATTACCACAGCCAGCTAGAGACCAGTGCCAGGCACTGCATGATGTATTTCTGTCACAGGAAGTACAGGGCGAGTTCCAAGTCCCCCGGGGCCCGCTCATCACACTTCAGAGCCACATGGAGACTTGAGATACATTACCCATTAACCTGTGTCATCAGGCCCACTGCTCCCTCCAGTGACATAGAAAATGTGGAGCTGAGAATGGAGTCTTCTCCACAGTGGAGCTGGAAGCAACACTACCCAGGGTCAGAGAGCGACAGAGAACCCCAGGACTAAGAGCATATTCAAGGTCCTTTCCCGAAAGCCAGCATCTCTGGGGTGAAGGTGCTCATTGCATTTTCAGGATTGGAGCCCTGCTGTGAGACGACCCTCAAACCCCAGGGGTGGCCAGGAAGACCCTCTGGGCGCTGCTTCTATCGGCGACCCTGCAGGCCAAAGGCCTGGAGTCTTTCTGAGCCTTAGAAGAGCAGGCATTTGTTTTGCGGATTAGTCCATCACTTCCATCTGCTCCTAACATAAAAGGTCACAGCAACGTCCCACTACATCTGTGAGGCAGCTTCCCAGCCTGCTTTGTGGGCTCCTCTGTCCAGCTGTGGCTGACAGAATAGAAGGGTGATCTGTTCCTTTTCATTACTATTTTATCACCAGAAAGGACAGGGCCACATTGTCGCTGCTCTGTGGCTGAGGAGTTTCTCTTGCTGTGTCCTTAGTCCCATTTGGCTTGCTCTGTCCAGGAAGAAAGTGATTGGCCACACACCCTACCTTTGCCTGTGTCCTGCTCAGTCCCCTATAGCTCTCCTGTCCTCAGCAGGTTTTACATACCCAACCATGAGAGGCCACCTCCCTGGCAAGTTTACCCTCCAAGCCAGGCACACCAGCCTCATCCCAGGACTGGGAAAGGCGGGGTTATCAGGAAACAGCTCTGCTCTGGCTGCAAGGCTGGTGACAATCTGTAACCTATACTGTCAGCCAGACTCTGCCAGGCTCTCCTACAGCTGGAACTTGAAAGTACACTTCTCTGGCTCAGGCTCAAGCTTTGGGCATGAGTATAAGAGGAAGTGCCCAGGAAGCCTGGGCATTTGGAAAACCAAACAATGGCCAGATTCTATGGCCATTATAGCCAGGCCAGCATTCAGGAATGCTTGAACGGTTCCTGATTCTCCCTTTATCATGGAACTTAAGACCTCTGTGTGACTAACTCATGTGGCAAGTGTGAGCCACTGATAATTTTGTTTGTTATCACAGCATATCTTCACCTATCCCAACTGACACATCCTTATACAGGAAATGAGAGTCTTTGTAAAAGGGTGTAATCGTTCATTCTATGTATGTGTGTGTGTCGGGGGAGGTGGGTAGGTACATAGGAGGGCAATGTCCACAGAGGCCAGAGGCATCAGATCACCTACCTGAGCTCAGGTCCTATGAGCCCTGCTTAGTTGATTCTTTGGGTTCTCATAGTGAGGACACTGTTTTTGTTGTTGTTGTTTTTTGTTTTTCCCCAGGCTAATGACATTGAATTTCTGATCCTCCTACCAATATAGGAGTGCATATCCCCACATCCAGTTTTCATGGGGATCAAACCCTGAGTTCTATACATGCTAAGCAAGCACTCTGGTAACTGAGCTACATTCTCAGTGCAAAGGACATCTCTGTTCCTTGTCCAGCCCTCTCCTTTTCTCGCTGAGCTGAAGTCTCACAACTCTATTCTTCATCCCACCTTGAATTTGCTTCTCCAGCTGATGATAGCTGCCCAACAGCCTCCCATCACCCTCAAATGGGAGGACAAGTCAGAGTGTAGAAGGCCGGGGAGTAAGGCGGGTGTTGTTCCAGGGTCCTAATTCACTATCTTCCCCAGTGCCATACACAGGCTGGTCTACCTCACAACTGGCAGGGAATCAGGAAGCAGATACCAGGGCAGCAGGCCAGCAGGCCAGAAGCCTCCTCCCCCGCCCCTCTCCTGCATCCAGCTCATCCACCCACCCTTGGCCCTGGCCCAACTCACCTTCATGAGGTCTCGATGGTGTTCCAACACACTGCAGGTCGTCTGCCAGGTGTCTTGGTAGCATTCCCATGGGTCCACTCTGCCATCACAAGAGAGGCTGCCCTTAGTCTCCATTTCATGCACTCTCCTCATTGCTTCCTTCCAAGGCTCAGGGAGCTTAGCAGGCCTGGCCATGTCCTGTTTGCTTAGATCTCAAATTAGGTTAAACCAGGCTGTGAAATACGTTCCTGAGCTTCAGTTTCCCTCTCTGTAAAATGAGAAGACTCTAGCACAGGCAGGTAAGGAAGATAGTGGTGCAAGTCTCCCTGAATTTAACCCCAGCTCAACACTTTTTCTAGTGGAGGACCTGGGAAATTTTATATGCATAGTATCTAGCAGGATGTCTCGTGCTTATTTTCATATGGAGAAGGGAAATCTTCAGGCTCTTACAGAATTGGGATAAGGATTTAATGAGCCAGAGGCTCATCAAGTAGGGACAGAGCGAGCCGGGAGAAGCAGCCCCATCAGCCTCTACTGGGTGGTGCAGTGCCTCGAGGCTGCAAGTCAGGCTTGACAGCTAGAATAGAAGGTACAAAACCGCAGGCCAGCCAACTCCTGAACAGGAGGCTGGAAATGAGCAGGGATCCTGTCTCAGACTAATGCCTCACTTGGCCTCAATTGCCAACTTAATGAGCTGCTAAACTGAGATATTTCTGAAATGTTCGTTCTCCTAGCTGTGGAGCATCCCTATCCATCTCCTACCATGCACCTCACGTTTCCCAAGTTGAGATCTTACTAACTGAAAATGAAAGAGTCTGCCTACCCTTGCCTGGCTCTTCCTGTGCCCATAAGTTTGGGAGGTGTCAGTGCTAGCTAGTCAGCTCTTCCAAGCGGGGCAGGTGGTAGCACTCAATATGTATGCATCGGATCAATGAAGGAATCATTCCAGAATTTTCTAAAAAGAAGTCCAAGCAGGAACAGCCTCTGCCCAGTGTGTTCTCCCCTGGATCCATTCCCCACAGGCAATTAGACAGTCATTTACAGCACCAGGAGATGAGGTTTCTGACCCTGGCTTGATCACAGATGGACTGTCCTCCAGCACTTTGACTTCTGTTTCTCAGTCAAGAAAAAGCAGCCACTCTCTACCCAACTGTGTCTTTTTGAAAAAAAAAAAAAAAGACTTTTTATTTATGGGTGTGAGGGTGCCTGTGGAGGCTAGAGAGGGTGTCAGATCCCCTGGCGCTGGAGTTACAGGTAGTAGTAAGCTGCCCAAGGTAGGTGTAGGAACTGAACTCATGTCCTCTGGAAGAAGAGCAAGTGATCACTACTGCTGAGCCATCTTTTCAGTCCTCAACCCAAAAGAAAGTCCCTTAAGGGTGAGACTTCTCATACAAAGCCCTGGCCAGGCCCACAGTGGCTTCCCCATCACTGACTTCAATTCTGCCAGCCCAACCCTCCTGGGTTAACAGCATCCCTCACTCTGAGTTCAATGGCCCTCCCCTCATGGAAACTTCTGGGTGCTGCTTATTTTTCCACTGTAGGAAATTAAAGAGCAAGTGATGTGCCATTATTTTTTTAAATACCATCTTCTCATGCAAATTATAACGGTAGGAACTTGGGGGACATAATTAGCATAATTAGTGAAAGCTTGCTTTAATTACACTGCTGGCTCTGAGCATGGGAAGCTCTGCCATCTT